ACTTTATTTTCTTTGCACAAAACATAATGGCACTTTTTTTCTTTGAGGTAAACATTAGACATTTTCATGGTGAGTTTAATTTATGCAGGTCCTGAGTTATTCACAAAATCATAAAATATTAAACATGCTTTCTATTGTTGGGCTGGATGTTCATTTGCAGTGAGATTTGGGACTATCCTACGTGTTTGTAGTTTAGGGTCTCTAATGTCCAAAAGTTAAAGTTAGGTAAAAAATATACAGTTTGCTGTCACAGTAAATGGCTAGTCATTAAAAAGGTCAATTAAAATATTTAGAGGTTTTGGATGTTTGTGGATGTTTTAAATGTACTTTTAAACAGACGGCTGTATTTGAATTTAGATTTTTTTTTTTTTTTAATTTTCTGCTGGCTTGAAGTGTTTCTCCACTTCTGCGGATGTTGAACTGACATACATTAATATCTTCCACTGGATATTGAGTACCATTAATTAATATGATAATTAACCTGCTTTTAATATGCAAAATAGACACTTGTGAGCAATAGCTTCAACACTAGAGCTGAAATCACACGTTTTTGCTTTATTCTACTGGGTACAAACTTCTTTACTGCCCACTCTTTCCATCTCAAAGTTGTTCATTGTTTTTGTATCCTTCAGCAGAGATAAGTGACCTATCACACAATCAATAGGCCTGATCAATACGCTGGCTCTTATATTGCCATGAACGAGGCGTAGGTCTTTGGTGATGAAAAGAAGCTGCACTTGATGTTTTTTCCCTCATTTACCTCAAGTTTTACTTTCTCTATACTCTCTTCCTCTCTTAGCAGCCGGTATCTGCAATGATTTCTCCTTCAAGTGTAAAAACAAGCAGTGTGTAAACAAAGTGAATGCAGAGTGTGATCGCGAAGAGGACTGCTCAGATGGTTCGGATGAGCAGGGATGTAGTAAGTCACATTTTTTTACATATATTTTTGCTTTTATTGCTCAATATTAATAATTTTTTGATTAAATCACAGCTGTGCTGTTATTCAGAATAACAGCACTGTTGCTCCTGTGATGTTGCCTAAATATATCATTTAACTGTAGTGCTCAGTTGGGTATTTCAGTTGTATCTGCAATGATTTCTCCTTCAAGTGTAAAAACAAGCAGTGTGTAAACAAAGTGAATGCAGAGTGTGATCGCGAAGAGGACTGCTCAGATGGTTCGGATGAGCAGGGATGTAGTAAGTCACATTTTTTTACATATATTTTAGCTTTTATTGCTCAATATTAATAATTTTTTGATTAAATCACAGCTGTGCTGTTATTCAGAATAACAGCACTGTTGCTCCTGTGATGTTGCCTAAATATATCATTTAACTGTGGTGCTCAGTTGGGTATTTCAGTTGTTTTACAATGATCTCAAATGTGGTTAATCTAATCATAATTAGGAGTTAGACGTATCTCTCATTATATTCGATTTGCTGTTTGGAGTCTTTTATTTTCCACTCAAATGTTACATAATGTGAAGCTGCACTGATGCCACTGATGATTTATTTGTTATGAATGTACTTTGAATGTAGTTGAAATTTAAAAAAAGACATTGCCAGTTGATTATAAACTCTCTCTCTCTCTCTCTATATATATATATATATGTGTGTGTGTGTGTGTGTGTATATATATGCACAACACGGGATGTACAATTAATCTGTACAATATGAGTTATCTGCGTTTTTTTCTTTTTATTAATCAGTATTAGCAAATATTGGATATTTAAATATGTTAAGTTATAGATAATCACCTACTGATTTAAAGGCACACCAATTATGACAAAGATGTATCCCTTTATCCTTTTTTAAATTTATTCATTCATTTTAATTGTCTGCTTCTTTTAAAACTAATTTAAAGAGACCGCAATCGACTACCATTGAGAAAAAGTACAACTTTTATTAATATTTCTTTGAGATGCACAGTAAAATTTCTTTCAGACAAACTATTTTGTGAAACCAAATTAATTGTTAAAATCCAATTGTTGTAATTGTATTTAATTTGACAGTAATATAGATTTATAATATGTAATATATGCGAATACAAATATGAGTATGAACTTTAGGTCATACCGCCCACCTCTAGTGTTTTTATTGCATAATCATTTGAAGATAATGAGCTTCCCAGTGTGTTTTCACAAGCTTTTGGTGTTTCGATAAATTTAAAAACAATTGTAATTTCCAGAAGTTGCTGCATCATCAACAACGTGGTAATTAGTGTTAAAAATTCACATTCAGCCCTAAGCCATTATATATTTTTTTATGAAACCTTACATGACATTATTCTTCTTTTATAGGCCTCAGGGTTGCTAGTTTATTTTTCCTTCCTCGTTGTGTTTTTATCAGCCAGCACAGTTCGTTCCTCTATATATCTGCCTTGTTATGATTCTGCTCGAGTCCCGCTAAAGGCCGACGGTCCTGTGAGTCAGAGCAGATGTTACGAGAAACTCGCCATCTTTCAGTGCAACCAGTTTTGCAGTTAGCCCTCTGATCTTATCCCTGCTGGTCTTGTTCAAGACCCCCATCACCTCTCATCTCAGCATGCCAATTCTAGCTAGCCCTTCCGTTGTCTTCCTTGAAGTCTTTGTGTTTGAACCGTTTCTACTATTTGGTTTCAGACTGTGGAGTCCGGCCATACAAGCACAACCGTATTGTGGGTGGGCAGAACTCAGATGTGGGTGAATGGCCGTGGCAGGTCAGTCTACATTTCCAGACCAGCGGACACGTTTGCGGCGCCTCAGTCATCTCCAACAAATGGCTGCTGTCCGCTGCCCACTGCTTCATCCAGCCTGATTCAGCGTGAGTCAGTTTATTGCATCTCTGTATTTTTCTCTGCTTAATTTAGCTGTAGTTGATGATAATTTATCACAGACATAAATTAGACATTAACTAAGTATCTTTCTCCATTTGCTTTGTGCTCAAACATCATCCAACATCAAAGCCTAAGCTTGTATTTATTTTCATTGGCCAGCAGGTGGCGCACGAGACATGCAATACAATCATATTTTACCTTGATAAATTATTCCAACATGTTTCTGAGACTGAAACACTAAAGCTGAATTGAAAAATAATTCACTCTCCTGAGCTATGGTTTCAGCATGAAATCAAAATCGACCCCATTTACTTTCTTAATAAACATTTCTGGTCTTATTGTGAATGATACATCGGTGCTCAAATGTTTGTTTTTAATCTTTCATCAAAATGTAATAACCTGTTCCACCTCTGAAATGACTTTGCAATTTGGCTGAAATCACCAAGCCCTCTTATTTTTCAGTCCCTCTTCATATAGATGTCCTATAAACACAGCTTTTCACAATCCGGCCCATAGGTTTTTTTTTTTTTTTTTCATTTAATCTTCTGAGTTCTTGTCAGCTTTCAAAACAGCTAACCTCTAAACTTGAAATGATACATTATTTCAGCAAATACAATTATCAGATTATTGGTGTAACCTTTTCCAAGCTTTTTGGTGTTTCAGTGAATTTTGAATAATGGACGTTACTGCATCATTGGCAATGTGGTAATTAGTGTAAAAGTTCACATTTCCTCAGATTTCCTGTCAAATTACAGATTTTAAATGCATTTGAATGCCATTTCATATTGACCTTTCAAAACAACTAACCTCTAAAACAACATTGTGTAGATTGTCTCCAACATCCTCAAATTAGATGTTTATATAAACAAATACATTTATCAGATTATTTGTGTAATGTTTTAGCTGTACCACCCACCTCTGGAGTCTTTTTTATATAATCATTGGAAGATAATAAGCTTCCCATTGTGTTTTCACAAGCTTTTGGTGTTTCAATGAATTTAAAACCTTACCTCACAAGTTTGACATTTATCAATCCAATGTCTCAATGTGACTTTTAACACAAGTTTTGTTCTAAGATTTTGTGGAAGCACATAACTTAATTATAATCAATGTTTCAAACACCCATAATAAGAAAAGATGCTCTTTGTTATTAGATTCGTTCTCATAGGACTAATGTGTTATGTATGTGTTGTAGGAAGTGTTGCACAAATCTTGCAGAAAGCAGAAGTAAAGGTGATTAATGATACAGTATGCAACATGGTGACTGAAGGTCAAGTGACCTCTAGAATGATGTGTAGCGGCTACCTCACTGGAGGTGTGGACGCTTGTCAGGTAAAACCATTCCTATATTTTTTATTTATTTTTTTAAACGAAAACACACGGAATCTGATATGTTCACTTTGTTCTGGGCCACTTGCAATATATGTAGGAATAAATAAGATATGTTTCTAATTTTTTTTTTTTTT